ACTGTCATTCCCGTTGAACTACCGCTATCAGGCAATCGCCATCGAGCTGCCACCACCGTCAAACTACTACCGCCTAGTCACTACTGAACCACCACTGTCAAGCAGCCACCATCGCCCGACCATCGTTGCCCGGCCATCGTCTTCTGACCTCCACTGTAGTCGGATCTCCACTACCCGGCCAACACTCTCAAGTCAAAGCCTTCGTCAGATAGGAATAACGTTGTCTAATCAACACAGTGTAGCCGCCACCACCGTCAAGTCATCACTGCCACCGAACCACCACTATTTGACTGTGCCACAGCTACCCTTCCTCCACAACTGTTGACGCCTAACAACCACTATTATTGACACTGAACCGCCACCATTGTCGTTAGACTCCACCGCCGCCATGGGACCTTTCCTGCCCGACCATCATTGTTCTCGCCACTACTACCGACATTAACATCATACATATTAGCAATCAGCATCTATCATCGACTTTTCTTCACAGCAGACAGGTCACCGCCGCTTCCTCAACGTTTTCTGCCACTTAGCGAAAATTGCGTCCCACTAGTGTAATATTACTTCTGACTATTCAAGGGCTAGTAAAGCCTTATAATCTACATTGGCATAGTCGAATCATTTCAAATGGGCCAAGTACTATGGTTTTGCCTCTTTAGGTTTTCTAAGTAAAAACCTCTTATTGTCTTTTCTGTCAATTTCATTTTGCTTATGCATATGTCGGACTTTTGTACAACATTAAGACATTAATATATCACTCTACTGCAGCAAAGGTTTTGCCTCTTTAGGTTTTCTAAGTAAAAACTTATTGTCTTTTCTGTCAATTTCATTTTACTTATGCATATGTCGGACTTTCGTACAGCATTAAGACATTAATATATCACTCTACTGCAGCAAATTTACCAACACGCAAAAATTTAGTGTTGTCTAAGGGAAGGACAATCCCGCCATCAAGGAACTTATAAAACGTGTGAAATAACCAACAAATGCAATACTCAATGGAGCAACCCGTTTTTTAACACTCGCCACTCCATTCACTGAGCCAGGAACATCACTCATCTTTTTTCCCTCCACGAAAAGCATTATCCTGGTAGCGAAGAAGCCCAAGACTCATCTTTTGAATACCGAGTGCGCAAAATGGTGGAGTCTCAACATGAGATTTTTCAGCTCCTGCGTGAGGGTCGGTAGTCGATACCCACACAGCTAAATAGGATCTAGTTGCCACAAGGTCAACAATATGTAGAGAATCCAATGCTCAAGGATACTAGTATCGAGCCCCTCACTATTATGCTGAAATTTCTCCTCCGACAGGCAAGATATCTATCTCCTTGATACCGGAAGTTCCACTCATTCATCTTGTGCAACTAGACCAATGACGCTCACAAAAAATTTGGCTCAACCACGCCTTACTAGCGCTCCCATTGATGTAATCTGCGATGAGCTTCAGTGCATGGTTCAAGAGAGTTTTATCTAATGGATATGAATTATTTCCTTGATTGTCGCAATTTCCAAGAGTCTTCTCCCTTGGCTAAGATATTCCTCTAGCACCTCATCCTAACAGGCTTTAAGCTACTAAATATTAAATCCTAAGATAATGTATATGACCCATATGAACACATTGACAATTACAAAACTATCATCACATCCAGCAAGCTTCTTATACGCTTTTTTATCTAGCTCTTCCTGTCACACTCAAAGGACGGGCTTGATCAATGTCTTTTTTAAGACAAGACCGTTTCCTCGCCTAGCATCACGGGTCTTAACCTCCTTCAAGTTTGATACGTCCAACTTCCAGTTTTTATGAGAAATTTCAAAGCTTCATCGTCTGGAATGTGAGCGAGGTGAGCGCCCTCCATAGCACCTGAAAGAGGGTATTTATAAGCTTAAGCAGGGGGGAATTTTTTGGGGGAATCGTATTTCTTTATAAATAAATATATTTTTCATTTAAAAATAATAAAAAAGGAAAAATATCACAAAAAAGTAGTCAATTCAAAATTTCCTGAACATTTTTCAAATCTTTAATTAATATAATCTTTTTCCTTTAAAAATGAAAAATAATCTATAAAAATTAGTAATATACCAAAATTCATTGAAATTTTTCCCAAATAGCACGTGCATGCGCCCTACAAGCATGTTAGTGCCGGTGTGCGTCTGCTTCTCACATGTGCACGTGTTGCTTCCCTTGTGCGCATACACTTTGCCTGTCAGCCTGTGCTCCCTCTGCAGGTGTGTGCACACACTCGCGCTCTACCCACACGATAGTGCGTTGCCAGTATGCCAAAACTTTGGCGTGCGTTGCCAGTATGCCTGCACTTTGTCCGCACTCTGTTCATGCTCCACCTACGAGCCAACGCACAGCCACAAACACGCGCAAAAGCACCTCACGCACACACAAGTCCTCAAGCCTAAACACAAGCACATGGGACCCTTTAGGCGTGCCGCCAGCACACCATCGTGCGAGTCGCCACTATCGCTAGCAAGGATAGTCTGGAAGGCCAATTTGTGAGGCCTTCCGGTTCCCGAGGCCATTTCTTGACATTCTTCACACAAATATGATGTCTTTGGATGAATATTGAGAAGTTTCTTGAGTCGGGCCCTGAGAAAAGGTCTATGCTAATACCAAAGGAGAAGTTGCATCTCACATTTGCATGAATATCACTGTTTTACGTCTCACAATTCTTTAAAAGGGTGGGATATATTTTCAACGTCTTTGACAATGACATTTGAAATTGGAGAGCAACTAATATGTCCCTGAAAATCATATTGATCTATACGAATCTCAACACTTCAAAAATATAATTTGGAAATGTTTGCACTCTGAATTATGATCAAGTGAAGTTCTCAAGGAGAGGAACCAAATTATATTAAAAACGATCTGACCCGAGTACAAGTTAGCCCAAATCATGCACTTAAAGCATAATTTAAAGCTTTAATTTCAGGGATCAAATGATCTCTATATCTGAGAAGTTTATAGTAAAATTGAGCGTCTCAACAAGTAAATCCAACAAGCCCAAAATTACTTAATTCGAACATCATTAAGGAGCTTAAATGATCATAAAATACCATCCAATCAAAGAGATCCCTCTGGGCCATTCAACGGGTGATCTGAATTTATCCAATGTTTACAGAACCCCACACTCTATGCCACTCAAAAAATGAATAAATAGACCCCCACACTCTTCATGAAGAGAAAGCTGAAGGAGCTCTCCTGACCTCCACTATTGTCGGATCTCTGTCAACTAGTCGTCGCAACAATTGAACCAATGTTGTCACCACCTAGCCATTGCCATCGAACCACCGTTGTTGTTGAATCACTGCTGCTCGACAACCATCGTTGAGCCACCGCCACTACAGAAACACCGTTATTGGGCCACTTGCGTCAGGCCACCGCCGTCGAGCCGCACCACTGCTGCCCGACCTCCGCAGTCGAGCCGCCACAACTGTCAGACCATCGTTGCCAGACCACTGTTGTTTAACTGTCATCATCATCAGACCACCGTCATCAAGTGGCCATCGCTGTTGGACCACCATTGCTCGACCATCGCGGTTTGGCCACCATCATCGCCAGACCACATTCGTCGCCACCGGATAATAATCGTCTGATCGTCGTCGCCGTTTGAACACCTCCTAACATCCACCGCTATTGACACTAAACTGTCAGTGTCGCCACCATCGGTCAGATTACCATCATCGCCACCACTGGAACTTTATTGCCCGATAATCGTCGTCGTTGTTGCTACTGCCGACGTTGGCATCATAGTTTTTACCATCGGAACTTTATTGCCCGATAATCGTCGTCATTGTTGCTACTGCCGACGTTGGCATCATAGTTTTTAGCACTTTACCCAACCATCGGTTTTTCTTCACAGGAGCCAAGTCGCCACAATTTTCCTCAGTGTTGTCACTTCCCTAGAGAAAATCATGCCCCCCTGGTGTAATATTACTTATGGCTATTCAAGGTTCGGTGAAGCCTTGTAACCTACATCGGCATTGTGGAATCATTTCAACAGGCCCAATGATTTTTCCCCTGCGGGTTTTCCACGTAAAATTAGAGAAAGTCGTCTTAGATGGTTTGGTCACATTAAACGTCGACCATCTGATGATCCAATTAGGAGAGTTGATGTCTTCGATTCAACTTATGTTAAGAAAGACATAGGTAGACCTACGAAGACTTGGGCTTATTGTATAAAAAAAATGAACTTAATTTATTACAACTAAATGAAAATATGACACTAAATAGGGCGCAATGAAGAAAAGGATTCACGTATCCGACCCCACGTAGTGAGATTAAGGCATTGTTGTTGTTGTTGTTGTGGGTTTTCCACGTAAAACTCATGTTGTCTTTCTGTCAATATTTTTTATGTGTATGTCAAATCTTCGCACAATATTAAGGCATTAATATATCACTCTAATACCGCTAATGTAGTAAATTTACTAGCACGTAACAATGTGTTTAAGAAATTTCTCTTTCACATTTTATGATAATTATTCTAATGATTACATCTAATTGTTTTAATAATTAGACATTTTGTCCGAAATTTTACAATATATCTTTATCATTCTTAAATCATCTTCAAATTAAAATAACTTTGTCAGGTGTTAGACATGTAAATACTCACGAATTAAATGGTATGCATGTAAATCTCCCAAAAAAAGTATCATCCTTTTATACAACAGTATCTCAGGCTCAATTAGGTTTTGATCACCCTTAATTCTACAGAGAAATATTAAATTTCCACAGATAAGAAACTAAGACGCATCAAAAAAATGGCTAGTCTTGGTTGGAATCTCGCAGGAGTACCAAGCAAATTTAAAAACCTAGAACTACTGCATGTGAATCTCAGACAAGTAAGTTATAACTTATATAGTTCTCATATTGCGCAAAAAAGAATTGATTTTCCACGTTTGATTTGAAAGAATGAAAAACATCTTTGGCGGGTTTCTTTCTTATTCTAAACAAGCACAAAATTATCACTTATTTTATAAGCGAATAAATTTACCAATATTTCTTCATCCAAATATGAAATCATGATCAATCTTTGAAAAGCTCCACCTGAAAGCATATAAAAATGGGTTAAAAAATAGTCCATGATAAAACTGTTATATGTTTGAGACTGATTATTAGAAATATTTTTAATAAAGTAATAACGCCAACATATTAATGAAAACAATACGGATCCTATATGCAAATTTGCAAGGCAACTTAAAATGAAGAGTTGGAGGTTATTCCTGGCAATGGTATTGTAAAAAACATAAATAGGCATAATTTGCACCAACCGACCATTATATTCAATTCAAGTAAGAGCTCCAGAATCAGCATAAAAGCACAATTTTTTTTCTAGGAGGCGTTCGTAGGCCAGGTTAACCAAGACCGGCAATTTAAGGGAAAAAAAAAGTTTGATCAACAAACCATATAAAAAGTGAAAGTTATAATAAGAAACCAAGTTCCTGTCTCACAAATTAGTTGAATACCACCTGCATTAGGCTTCCATATTCCCCAGATCATAAAATACTAACTTTTCTCCAGACTTAACAAATATTTTATTTACTCTAAAACATTCACCAACTAGTAATGGCACAACACCATTTATAATCAAAAAGTTTGTCTAATCCAAAGTTATTAATCTAATAAAATTTTTGGCTCAAATTATTAAAAAGATCTGTAAAAACTATGCTATCTTCCAGGAATCTCCAAATCCCTATAGATATTTTATCTAGAGTTAACTTTCTTTGTCAAATTAGCTCTTCAGTACCATTACTCATTATAATTTCCAAAGGAAAAAAACTATGCTATCTTCCACGAAGCTCCAAATCCCTATATTTTATCTAGAGTTAACTTTCTTTGTCAAATTAGCTCTTCAGTACCATTACTCTTTATAATTTCCAAAGGTAGCATTTTCAACTTTTCTTAGTGTTACTTTTTAACTAACCTTTTATTTTATTCGCATTTAATAGCCTAACTAAATCATATCCTCTATATTCACATTCATTTGACTTAGATGTTTTATATATTGCATTTTCTTATTCTTTAGCATCTAAATCTACAAGTAATCAAAAACTATTACCTTATTAGCTACCCTTTTGCAGATCTTCTAGATTTCTTATAGTTATCTTATAGCTCAAAAGTACTTATTTTGTATTGCCTTTAATAGCGCATTTATTTGCCTTATATAAGGTTTTTTCTTTTACCTCATTCAATTGAATTGTTGTCATGATCTGGACTGATAGCTTAAAATTAACCAAATCGGGAACTGCGGTCGAACAATATTAACATTTGATTGACTTTCCACAAATTTTTATAAATTTTCAAAATATAGAAAAAAAAACTAAGAAACCACAAAGTATACTACATATAAATCAAAACATCCAAAAACAAATATATAATATGTAGACAACACACCAAACCAGCATATAAGAGTATATCACTACCAGAATGAAAACAACACAAAGAAACTACAATCATAATATCTATCACCAGCAGTCCTGTAAACTAAATCTCTTATATCAAACATCATTATACAATTCCTCTTTTCTTGAAAGAAACAATTAAATTCAACAATAAATTTTCACGAAATAGTGAGCAATTATAATATTAATATGCATTAAATTCTTATGCAAATTTTATGAATGAATGAAAAGCAAATAATAGTATATGAATGAATAAATATATAGTATGTAGTCAACATTTCAAACCAGTATATAACAATTTTATCCCTAACCAAACGCAAATAGCATAAAGAAACTATAATCATACTACCTATCAGCAGTAGTCCTCCTGTAAACTAAATCTACAATTCCTCTTTTTCTAAAGGAAATAATAAAATTCAACAGTAAGTTTTCACGACTTAGTGAGCAATTATAATATTAATATGCATTAAATTCTAATGCAAATGTTATGAATGAATGACCAAAAAACCTGACGTTCATTACTTTATAAAACTGTAAGCTTTCGTTTTAAATTTATCCCTTCCCAATTTAATTTAAGTATGTCATTTTTAGCTTTTTTAATAGTATCAAAATTTTTTTCATATCCAAAGGTATCCCTAAAATTACACGCGTATGAACCCTCAAATTGTGTACCTGAAGGTATATATTTACCATTTTCATTTCATTTAATGTACACGGGTACATCACATCCCCTATTTGTACATTTGGGAGTAATCTCGATTAACTTGAGTCATTACATTTCATTTTTTTTAATTACTTCCATTTAAGATCATTGAAACTATATTTTCATATCCAAAGGTATCCCTAAAATTACACGCATATGAACCCTCAAATTGTGTACCTGAAGGTATACATTTACCATTTTCATTTCATTTATTGTACACGGGTACATCACATCCCCTATCTGTACATTTGGGAGTAATCTCGATTAACTTGAGTCATTACATTTCATTTTTTTTAATTACTTCCATTTAAGATCATTGAAACTATCATTCTCTTTTTTTATTTTCACTTCATTCATTTTAGAAATTCTTTCATTCAAAATATACCTAAGATTATTAAAGCAGATATATGAAATGTTAATGTATTTTTTTTTAATAAAATCTTAATTTAATACATACAAGAAAATAATCAATCACCTGCTTTAAAAGACCTTTGTAAAAGATTATTCCTTCACTTCATTATCACTTATATCCGTTAAAGGTGCATATAACTACAAGAATCTCATCGTAGAAGAAAGACATAATATATCAAATCTATTCAAATATTTTCCTTTCACACAGCTTTTGAATTGAAAATTCTCACTAAATCTTATGAAAACTTAAAATTTATCTAATGACATAAATAAGTATATAAATCTTAATTTTAAAAGGATTGGCTTGTTTCCTTCTGCACAAGATTCCACTTTCCCCCCTATAATTGTATTTGCTTTAGCTTCCAATCTTCTGCATTAATATCTAATTGAGTTACACCTATAATTAACATTCAGTAAATAACAATTATTCTAGTTCAAATAATTAACATCATAAAACCTCACTAACATTTCTCTCTGGTCGTACTAATAGAGCTTCGACTCTCCACTTTACACCAGTGATTCTTCTTCTTTCCTCGTACAGGAAGTTCGTGTGCCTTTACTCCCTCTAATTCAGGGCTTAATAGCTTCGATCTAGATTCAATTAAACTTTCTATTAACACTATTTAAAAAAACACATAACACACACACATTTATTAAATAACTTAATTAAAAAAGTTTTAACTCACCTTTTATTTTCGGTCGAAAGCCCTAACATGCATGCAACGGCTTCCCTTCTTCCTCCTCTCGTTCAATCCGCCTCGAACCAACAAAGCGTGTGCGCAATTTCTTCCATCTTCTTCCTCTACACATAGGACCTTGCGTCATTTTCTCCTCTTCCTCTACACACAAGCACAGCTTCATTGCCTCTTTCGTCTAGGGCTCCAAGTAAAATCACGGGTAAGAGAAGCACATGAGAACATCTCATTCTTCCTTCTTTGCCTTTGGTTGCGGCTCAACCCAACACCACACGCACATGCACACGCCACCTCCTTCTCTATCCTTCTTCTCCCCTCTTCGCTCTCCTCTATCGATTGGCTTCTTCTTTCGCTACTACAATTTTCACCACTCTTCTTCTTCGTCTCTCGAATTAGGGCATTGTGATTTCTCCTCCTCATTCGATGGTTTTGAATGAGGGGAAGTGCGGAAGGCGGAAGAAACGTGTGATTTATTTACTGTTAGGGGTGCATCTCCTCTAACCGACACCCATTTTATTGTATTTATTATATTTATTTATTTAAATTTAAGTTATTACAACCTCATCTCTTTTTAAATTTCACCCTCAAAATTTGAAAAAATTTAATACAAAAGCAAACATCCCTCAAATGAAAAATGCTCATATCTTTATTGCATATTAAAAATTTTCTCCCAAGTAGCATCTAATACGTGCTTCCATAAAATCTTCACAAATAGAATCTCCCTATTATGAAGCTTCTTCACATTATTATTCAGTATTCTTTTAGGCTCCTGAAAATAAGTCAAATTAGGCTCAATATCAACTGAGTCCGCTGTCACCCTACTTGATTCATATACAATATGCTTTCTACATGAAGAAATATAGGAAATGTTATGTAATTCTTTAACATGAGCTGATAACACCAATTGGTAAGCCACATTTCCAATCCTTTTCACAATCTCATATGGACATATTTGGAGCTCAATTTTCCTCTCTTCCTAAAATGTTGTGCACCATTCAATGGACTGAATTTGATAAAGACAAATTTTCCAACTTCAAAATCCAATGGTTTGTGCTTAGTATCATAATATTTTCTATTTATCCTACACTGCTCATAATCAGCCTCTAATTAGCATAATATTTTCAGTAGCATCCAAATCAGCTTCGATGACCTTTCTTTCACCTGCTTCAATCCAACATGAAGGTGCCATGCATTTTCTTCTATACAAAGTTTTATATAGAGTCATTCCAATATTAGCCTAATAATCGTTATTGTAAGTGAATTCTACTAAAGGTATATATGATTCCCATCCACCACCAAAGTCAAGAACACAAACTTGGTAGATCCTCCAAATTTTGAATTGTCCATTCTGATTGGTCATATGTCTGAGGGTGAAATGCTGCATTGAAAGTCAATATGGGGCCCAAAACTTACTGAATCTTCTTCCACAATCTAAAAGTAAATATGTCATATCTGTCGAAGACGGTAGACTTTAACACTCCATACAATCTTATAATTTGATCCACATACAACTTAGCTAACTTCTCAATTGGATTTGTATGTCAAATAGACAAGAAATGAGCAAACTTAATCAATATGTTAACAATTACCCAAATAGCATCACGATCCTAACGTAATCTAGATAACCCAATCACAAATCCATAACAATCCCCTCATTTCCACTCTAGAATAGGTAAAGGTTGTAACTGACCTATAAGATGCTAGTGTTTTGCAATCATTAGCTAACATGTAGGACACTCAACCACAAATTCTGTCACACTCTTCAATCCGGGGCACCAAAATGTTTTCTTGAGATCCTGGTATATTTTATTACTCCTAAGGTGAATAGTATAGTCA